CACGCTGCAGGCTCCGCTGCCCCTCCTGACAGGGCCTCTCCTGGCTCTGTGCTGCAGAGTGCCCTGCCTGTGAGAGCAGTGACTCCTCCCCTCCCTGCCCCTGTCCCTACCCCTGTCCTTCTCCCCACGGGGCCTCTGAATCACCATCTCCCTCCATCCTCCACCCCTGGGCTGGGGAGAGGGGGCTCTGGGTCTGGTTCCTGAGAGGTGAGGCTCCAGGAAATGAACTGAGGTGAGGCCGGGGAGGGGGCACCTTTGAGCGGAACAATTACTGGTCAATCCCGCCTCCCGTTGCCCTGGAGGAATCTGCTCAACTCCCCGGCATTAAAGGGTGATGTCCCAGCACATCGGACTCCAGGCATCTGGTGCTGGCCCGCACGTTCTCCCTGCAACCCCCCACCCCCATCCCCTCTCTGCCCCCTGCCCCTGACCCCTCCTGACCCGGCCTCCCCCAGCCTCTGGCCTGTCCGCACAGCCTCTCACTCATCTTCCTTAGAGCAGGGAGACGGGGATGTTTCCCAGGGCCCCCACCTGGCCAGGATGGGCAGGCGGAGAGAGTTCTCCTAATTTCTAAAACCCTCTGCCGTGCTTCTTCCGTAGGCCTGCGGCGCGGCTCCTGACCTAGGTGGCTGGGACCCTCAGTCGCTTCGGGAGTCCCCGAAGACGGACGACCTGAGGCAGAGCAACTGCCCAAAGTCCTGCGGGCACGGAGGCGTAATTAATTAGCTCCGCGGCGCCTCGGCCGCAAACGCAAACCTGTCGGCCAGGCCCCGGCCCTGGCCCCACCCGGCCTCTCTTCCCAGCCCAGCCCTCCTGCTGGCCTCAGCCCTCCACCGTGCCGTCAGCCCAGCCCAGCCCTCCTGCTGGCCTCAGCCCCTCCACCGTGCCGTCAGCCCAGCCCAGCCCTCCTGCTGGCCTCAGCCCTCCACCGTGCCGTCAGCCCAGCCCAGCCCTCCTGCTGGCCTCAGCCCTCCACCGTGCCGTCAGCCCAGCCCAGCCCTCCTGCTGGCCTCAGCCCCCCACCGTGCTGTCAGCCCAGCCCAGCCCTCCAGCTGTCGTGCCTGGTTCTCCAGGAGCTTCTACAGAAAGCACCCGAGAGGGCACTAGAGGGGAGAGGAGGACGGGGCCACCCTGCGGTTAGTACCTTTCGGCTGCCTCACCCACTTCCATGGCATCAGGGTCTGGCGCCCAGTGGTGCCCAGTGGCGGTGGGTGGGGTGAGGCAGAAAACTCCAGGCTTCTTGAGAATGTACCAGAGCTGAAGGGTGAGGCCTAGGAGGGGCTGCCTCTCAAGCTGGGCCACAACCCCGAACACCTGGGCTCCCCCCACCCCCCAGCCCAGCCCAGCCGTGGCCCTGCCCTCAGAAATGGGGAGGGGCTGTGATCTCTGGGAGAGAAAACCATTTGCTTCTCCTAACTTTGCCAAGGCTCAGGCTGGTGGGAGGGGGCTGGACCCCCTCTGACACTTGTCTCCACCCCTCCCGCAGCCTCTCCCTGGAGACATTCTTCTAGCTGCAGTGCAGGGAGGGCCCCTCATGGCGCTGAGGATGCCCAGCTAGGCTAGGGGATGCCAGGCTGGGCTGCTGGAGAGAGAAGGGGTGCTGGGCGCTGGTTCTGGGGTGGTGACCGCAGACTCCACAGGAAGAACTGAGGCTGGACAGAGGTCAGATGGAGGCCAAGGGCCTTCTGAGTGGGGAGTTAATGGGAAGGCTGGGTGATAGATCCTCTCTTCCTCCAGTTGATGGACAGACATAAACCCCACCTGCAGCCGGACATTCCTGAGCTCTGAACCACCCATCAGCACCTGCCAAATACCCTAAGCCCCCAATTCCTAAATCCCTAGGTCCCTAATCATAGGCCTTACATGAAACCACCGATCAGCATGTGCTGAGTGCCCTAAGCCCCGCCCCCTATCCTCCCCTTAAAAGTACACGGACCCGGGCCCTCGCCCTCGCTCTCTTCCCCTCTCTCTCTGGAAGCAGCCGGCAGTGGTGCTCTTCTCTTTAATAAAGTCTGTGTCCTGGCATCCCGGTCTCCGGCCCCTCTCTTTTCATCTTTCACCGGGGACCTTAGTTCTTGTGGGGCTGGGCCTCTGAGGGCCTCTGTCCACCTGAAACTGAGGGGAGGGAGGGAGGGAACGAATCCAGCGAGTGTCTCTCCCCTCTCCCACCCCCTTCCTGCCTCCACCCTCCTTTACCCCATGGAACCCAGGGGACCTGCTGTATGCCCTCCTTCCTTTGACCCAACAACTGCGGCAGGGCGGGCAGGGCGGGAGCAGGGGCCCATGCACCAGGGTCCTGTCCATTGTTTACACAGCCCGAAGGATGAGCCCGGCCCCGGCCTTTGGTGTGTTGTCTCCCAGGGAGACATTAACGGGTAATTAATTAGCCTGCGGTGCCTCCTCTCTGTGACTCACGGAAGCCCGGGCAGCACTAAGTCAGCGGTGCAGCCGCTTCCTTTGCCGCCAGCACCCCGCCAGGCCTCCCGGGCGCCCCTTCATTCTACTGTGCGCCAGGCACTGTTCTAAGCACTGGGGAGGCAGCGTACACAAGCCAGACACAAGGCCCTGCCATGGAAGAACTTACGATCTGCCGGAGGGAGACACGTGAGAAACAAACAAATCACAAAGATACGGAGTCTGTCAGAGGATGAGAAGTGCTATGGAGAGAAATGAAGCAGGGCAAGGAGTAGGGAGCAGTGTGTGTGTGTGTGTATGGGTGGGGGTGAGGCAGGGGGGAGGGGGAGGAGAGAACCTGTTTCTAGGCTGATGGGAATAATCCAGTAGAAAGGGCGATACTATTGATGGGGAGGGGCTGGGGGGAGCAGTTACTGGAGAGACCTCTCAGCCCCCCCCCCCCCAACTCCAAGACAATAGGAGTTGTCCCCTCCCCCTCTTTCCCCCCTCCTCCTCCCCCTCCTCCTCCTTGGAGTTGTCTTCTTTGAGGGGGACCACGGGGCCTTGGAAATGGCACCAGCCTGGGCACAGGACACCGGGGTCCTGTCCTAAATCCGCCTATCCCTGGCACTGGGCCTCGGTGCCAGCCCTTTCACACTCGGGCCCCGGTGTGAAATCAGGCCTTCTAACATTAGCGACGCCCCTCTGCCCAGTGGAGGTGAAAACCCAGTGAGGCAACAGGTGTGAAAGTGCTTTGTTGAAAGGTAAAGGGTGGAACAAATGGTTGGGTTGCTCTGATTATTCTAATAACACAAGGGATTAGTAAAAAAAATTTAACGGATTAATGTTCATCCAACTCTGCTTGTACCAACAGCCTCCCCACGAAGCTAACACACTCGTGACCTGATCCTCTGGAAGCCAGGTGAACTCCCCTGCCCTCTACCCACCGTGCTCCGCCCCGCCCTCCCTCCCCCTGCACTGACCCTCTTCCATTTGTCTCTGGCAAACCCTGGCTCCCCTCTGAGGCCCCAGCAGCTCCCTCCTCCCAGAGTGACCCTCCCTCTTTCTTTCCTCCTGGCAGGTTCCCGCCCCACCCTCCGGGTCTGAACTTGTCTTCAGCGGGTACTGCCTGGAAGACAGAGGGCTGGCCCGGAAGCCAAGGGAAGTTAAGTGTGGTAGGGTGACCAACCTTCCTGGTTTGCCCAAGATTTACGAGGCCCCCCAAGAAGTGGGGATGTCAGTGCTTACACTGGGACAGTTCTGGGTAAGCTGGTCACCCTTGTCTTGACCGAAGCCACCCTTTCTGCTGAGCCATCACCTGCCAGGAAACCTGGGACACGTCACTTAACTCCTTTAGGATTCCGTTTTCTCATCTGCAGAAGGAGGCGCTTGGAGTTTCACTAGATCCTTTTTTAGTTTCTTCCAGCGCTCCGGTTTTGAGCCTGGAGGTCCTTTACTCATCGCACAGATATTCACTGAGTGCTGCCATGTGCCACACACCCTGCTCTTCCCATTAACTGTGGCCTCCTGGGCACACAGCACGTCACACATAGTAGGTGCTCAATAAAGACCTGTGGGGATGAATGAACGAACGGACCACACCCCCATTTCTGCTTTGCCAATCTGTCCCAAACCTCTGCTCACGAATCTGACCCCCTAACTCCCCCGTTTCTGCTTGCCGGCTCTATCACCCACAAGCCTCTGGGACCAGTGCCTACGCCCGGAGCGCTGGCAGACTGAGTTGAGCGGACACTCCAGTGAGGGCGAGGACAGTCCGGTGACTGCTCCCACTGCCAGGGGAAGTTTGCCTTGGGCACAGCCACCCAGGAGATGTCACCAACCTGAGTTTACCCCGTGGCAGACCCTGGGGCCGTCACCGCCCCACCTGCCACCCCTTGGAGCTCCTCTGAGCAAAGGGTCAGCACCCAGGCTTGCTGCAGGTGAATGTCTGCCCCTGGTCACCTTCTGTCCCCTGGGCACCTGCCTCCAGCCACCCACTCCCTTCCCCAGTTCCAGGTCTGGCCCTCCCACTTCCTTGAGTGCTGGATGACCTTGGACAAGCGATTTACCGTCTCTGAGCCTCGGGCTCATTACCTGAGTTTGTTAACAACAGAACTTACTTTAGGGAGCGTTCAGAGGAGCCAGTGCTCACTACACGTGAGCTGTTATTGTTACCAGAATCGCCACCGTGGTCACCCGCACCCTCCCATTCAGTGGGAAAAGTCCAGAACAAGCTCAGCCTGAGCGCCCCTCTCACTGGGCGCTCAGAACCTCCTGTGCCCCGAGATTCCCCGAGTGGCCACTAACTGCGTCCATGCAGCCAGGACCTTCACCTCCCACCCCAACAGCAGCCCTGGTTCTCCCTGACGTGAGGGGCACGTCTTCCCAGCTCTTCCAAAGCTTCCATCCTGCTGTTCCCACCTTCCTCCCTCTCTGCCCGGACGGGCTGGTCTGTCTCGGAGACCAGAGAGACTTCCTTGACCTCAGCACTGAGCTCTGCTCTGCCCCAGGCACGTCCCACGCTCAGGGAGGACCGTGAGAAAGGCAGAGATGGCGGAGGCCTGGGGAGATGATCCGAGGCGGGGCCCCCGGGGAGCCACACTTACCAATGTAAACACGCCTGCTCCCAGCACGGCATACACTGCGTGGAGCCAGGGCACCTGCGGGGCAGACAAACCGGGTTCAGGGATGGCAGAGGGGGCAGAGGGGCAGGGAGGAGGGCTCAGTCCAGAGCATGGGGGACGGGCGTGGGACAGACCTTCCTAGTAGGACCCTCCCTCACTGCCCCCAACCCTCCCTAGATGTTCCTAAGAAATGCCAGGTCCCCAACAGGGATCCCCAGTTCTCTCTGTGTGTCAGGGTGGGCAGGGGAACCCCAGGCTAACAGTGATCCTGGAGGGCACAGCAGGGAGCGCCCCACCTGACCTGCACCTGTTCCCTCCGCACAGCCCCAGGCTCCGGCAGCACCCAGCACCCAGTGACTTCCTGTTGGCCTGTCATTCTCCCAGCCTGGGGCGCCTCCTCCCTCCCTGCCCTGCACAGTCTGTCTGTCTCTGCGGGGAGTTCCCAGGTTCTGTCTGTCTGGTAAGGGGCCGGGTAGGAGGAGACAAAGACTTGAACTCAGGGGTGAGGTGGGGTCCATGTGGGATTCCTGCCCGGGTGCAGGAGGAGGCTGCCTGTGGGGGCAGGTACCGACCGCACTCCTTCCCCGCCTCAGCCCCGTGGAAACCCTGTGAGAGGCACCACATCCCAGAAGATTCCAGGAAACACAGGCATCCCAGCTGCCTGACAGGGTCAATAAAGGGTTCTTTGAAGCTTGGGGCCCCACCCTGTACCCCCATCCCAGATACACAGAGGGCCCCAGGCCAGCTCCGGCCCCTCCCTTCGTCAACCATCAACCGGATCCCGGGAAGAGCCAGGGGAGTGCGAGAGCCACTCCAGCTGTTCTGGGGGCAAAGCGCTGGGGCGGGGGTGGGTGTAAGACAGCCCCCCGCAGGGTCCAATAATTCAGCTTCGGCCCTTGGGTTCCCAGGATCAGAACCTCAAAATGGATCACTGAGGCCTGGGAAGTCCTGGTTGGGTATCCCAGAGCAGGCTGGGGATTTGGCTGCCCCATGGATGTCCCAAGGAGGTGGGGACAGTTGCGTGTCGGACCCCCACCTGCCTGGCTGCCCCGAGACTGTCCCTCCGGACTTGGCTGATCCCCAAGAGTCCAAAAGGCTCTTCCTCAGGACCCCTCGGGGTCTGGTGGCCCCCCAGAGCTCCAGTGCACCCTTCCCTGCCAAGGGTTTAAATGCTCTGGGCACCCTCCCCTCCAGCCACCCCTCCCCACTAGAAGGGCGGATGGGGAAGGTGAAGCCGGATGTGGCTCATGGTGCCGGCAGGCGCCCAGGCCTGCTGAGAAAGGCCTCCTTGTTGGTTTGCTTACACTGCCAACAGGCCCGGGCTGGTGCCAGGAGGGGCTGGATAGGACGGCAGGCGTGAGCCTTTGGCGCTGGGCCTCCCCGGGAGGGTGTGGGAGGAAAAGGCACCCTCCAGCCCACAGGCTCCCTCCCTCCCTCCCCGAGGGGACCGCCGGGGGGGCCCCCGGACTCACGTATTGGAAGGGCAGGAGGATGGCCAGGATGAGCCCGCTGAAGAAGAGCGTCATGAGCAGCACGAAGAGCACGCCCTGGCAGGAGGTGAAGTCAAACTGCAAGGATGGGAGTGGTCAGCGGCTGGCGGGGCCTGTCCGCCTCATGCTCCTGCGGACCAGCATCCCTTCCTCACCCCTCTCCCGGTGGCCTCCCCAGACCCCTCCCGTCCCCTTTATCTATCCCCAGACGGGGACTGAGCCTGGAGGCCCCGCCCCACCTGCCTCCCGCGGGCCGGGGCTGACCTTGGTCTGGAAGCTGAAGATGGTGACGGACAGGCAGACGAGGGCGGTGATGCTCAGGCACAGCAGCACCGAGGTGGTGTTGTAGTAACTGAGGGCACAGGCGGGAGGTCAGCCGCCTTCGTCTCCCCTGGCCTCCCGCCCAGCCCCACGCTCCTCTGCAGCCCTGACCCCGTGAGCTCTGGCCCCCACCCTCTCTCCTCTCCCAGGGTTTTCCTTCTCCCTGCTTCCTGCTCCCTTCTCCCCCGGGCCCGAGCTCCCCAACGAGTTGGAAGGATCCGGAGAGGTGGGAATGGGGGGGGGGGGTGTGCTATTGCCTGTAGGTGGGAACTGCCATAATCTCACGTTTGGGGTCTTTTAAGCTGCAGCCTGACGGGTCACCTTGGTCTCCTCCATCCCCCCCTCTCCCCCCACGGGCCTAGCAGGTCCCGGGGCACCATCTGGTGGGGTGCACAGGGAGAGGGCCATAGGCCAGCGTTTCCTGCCTGTGCTCTGCCCCCTCCCCATGCTCCCAGGAGGATGGAGTCCGGAGCATTTCCACCCACCTCTGCCCCGGGTGGCGAGTCCCGGGCTGTAAGCCTGGCCTAGGGCCCCTACGGCCCTTTTCCTACCCCCTGTCCCCTTTACCTGGACAGCATCCCAGTGAGGTAGGCCATGGACAGGGTCTGAAAGGAAAAGCAGAAATGTTCCATGACTCAGACTTTGGGGCCCAGACACCTTCCAGGTCCAGCCTGGGTCTCCATCCCTCAACTGAGTCGGCCTCACTCACACGGTCACCCCTGGGAGTCGGGCCTGGCGATGCAGCACCCCAACAGGCCTCGCGCCACTGCCTTTCCTCCAGTGGCAGCCCTGCTCTGCCCCCCTCCTGAGCCCTCCCTCCCACTCCTCACTCTCCGGAGCTCCTGGACGGCCCATGCAAACCTCTTACACACAAAACCGCAAGGAAGAGAGACAGCGGGCGGAGTGCGGGGAAGGAGACTAAGCCCACTTGGAAAGAGGGTGGGGTATCTTCGGGCCTGTCCAGTGTGGCTCAGTGGGTGAGCGCTGACCTATGAACCAGGAGGTCACAGTTCAGTTCCCAGTCAGGGCACATGCCTGGGTTGCAGGCTCGATCCCCAGAGTGGGGCGTGCAGGAGGCAGCCGATCAATGATTCTCTCTTATCATTGATGTTTCAAACTTTTTCTCCCTCTCTCTTCCTCTCTGAAACAAACAAAAATATATTTTAAAGAGAAGAAGTGGGGTGAAAATACCCCTCTCCCCCAGTGGCCTCACATTAGACGTCCCCAATCTAGACATCCTGGCCTTGAAGCCCACCTCCCTCCCTCCCCACTCAGCACCTGCCCTTAGCCCCCGGATCACTTACAAAGACGGTCAGAAGAATCATGTTCCAGGGGAAATATCTCCTGTAAGGCAAGCCACTGAATTCAGAGGAATGGGGTGGGGTGGGGTGCCAGCAGCTGCAGGCTGGGTCCCCCTGCAGGGAGAGGGGGTCTCTGCCCCCCCATCTCCACTCTTTGGAGGCTCTTTCTTTAGTCACATTTCCATGTGCCATCTGTCTGTCCGCCCTCCTCCCACCTCAGAGGTAATAAGTAAAGGAAGGGGGTGCAGCCCTACATGAAGGAGCCCAGAGAGGGGTGGGGCCTTCTCAGGGGTGCACAGCACACTGGTGGCAGACAGGCCTGGGGTCAGAATGCCCAAGGTCCTGCTCATCTTCCCACAAGTTGCTCTTCAAGCCATCACCATACCTAGGTCCAGAACAGCAGGCCAGGGTCATGTAGGTCGCAAAGAACACAACGCTGTGAGAGACAGATGAAGGGGGAGTTAGCAGCTCACCCCCACCCCCATTCCCTGCCTCCCCGCACCCCCCCCCTTTCCCTGCCTCCCCCCCCCCCCCCAGGCCTCTCCATTCAGTCCCCGCTCATCCCACTCTACACCCCACAAGGCACCAGGCAGGGTGACGGGGACTGGGGTAAGCTACAGTCATCCTAGAACTTAGAATGGACAGGAAGGTGGTTCAGTTCTAAAAGAGAAAGGGAATGGGAAGAGCCTGCCTCTGTACATACTTGGTGCATGGGACAGCTGATTCCCACCCAACCGACCCAAAGTGGTCTCCCTGGACACTAGCTTATTACTTCAGAGGAAATGCTCTTATGTACTGTTTTCTATGTGCCAGGCAGAGTGCTGTGTGCTTTATGAAAATGAAGTAATCTCCTATCTTCTCTGTGAAGCATGCTTTTTTTTGTTTGTTTTTTTTGTTAATTGATTTTCAGAGAGAGGGGAGGAAAAGGGTAAGGGGAAAGAGAAAGGGAGGAGAGAGAGAGAAAAACATTGATGTGAGACACACACATCGACTGGTTGCCTCTGGCACGTGCCCAGACTGGGCCGGGGATTGAACCTGCAATCCAAGTACGTTCCCTTGACCGATTTAAAATCTCGACCCTTCGGTGCATGGGATGACGCTCTGACCACTGAACCATGCGGGCCAGGGCAGCATGCTTTTCATCGAACAGCTGAGGCACAGTGAGGTCAAGTGACTTGTCCAAGGTCACGCAGCTACCACCTGGCAGAGGCAGGATTAGAACCCAGAATCTCTGACTCCAGAGGCCCAGCTCCATGCTGCCTCCTTCAGGCCCTTCCAGCCCATAATGACCTTGGGAGATACTTTATTGTTGGTCTACCTACCAGCAGGGGCAGGGCCTTGTCTGTCCCGCCAGGGCCTGGCACAAGCTGGAGGTACCTGCAGCATGGGCTAAGTCTAGTGGGGGACTGGCACAACCAGACAGGGATTGGGGATTGGGGTTTCCTAGAGAGGAGCAGACGTGGAGGCCAGTCCAGGAGGTAGGAGAAGAGGCTGAGGAACCAAGGGTAGGGCGTGCTCACACCTACCTAGATCGGTGCCACCACCAATGTGTGGTCTCCAGCACCCAGAAGGCTCTCAACAAGGTTCCTGCCATTTTTCCCACCCCCCCTCCTGGGTCCTCTCACTCATCTCCACAGCAGCAATTCCAACCCTTCTCCCCCGCCCCCAAACCTCTCAGACCCCCCACCCTTGGCCTGGCCTGGCCTAAGAAGTCCCAGGAAGATTTAAGGTGAGGAGGGGCTCCCTTCGCTCCCTGCCTGCCACCAGCAGCCATCATGTCCTGCGTCCATGTGCCTTCCCCGTCCCTCCTCCCATCCCAGGCCAATCCCTCAGGCCTGGGCTCTGGGTCCCACACCCTCAGCGGCGCTGCCATCTCTATTACTTAAACCTTTCTATCCCGCCTCTCCGCCCACACAAACCTCCTCCGCTGTGTTCCATCTTTCATCAACTTTTCCCTAGTTTTAGCTGTGGCCACCTTAGCCAACTCACAGCCAAGCTTTTTGAAAAATAGCTTCTTCTCACTGTCTTCTTCTCCACCTCCCGATCACTCGCCAGCCCAGCAACCCCGCCCCCACGTCACTTAATACGAGGACTTTGTTGGGCCCAGCGGACACTCGTCAGCCTGCCTCTTCCCGGACCTCCAGAGCATCTGCTCTCTTCGTCGTTTCCCTGGTTCCACACGGTCCACACGTGCTCCCTTCCTGCCTCCCTGGCTCCCCAGTCTCCTTCAGAGACTCTGACCACGGCTCCTTCCTCCCGAGCAGAGGGTCCCTTCCCGCTCTTCCCGGTGCGCTCGCTCACCCACGGGACTTCCTTTGTTAGGCAAATGCTCACGACTCACAGACCTACATTTCTGATCTAGATTTTCCTTCTCAACGGAAGACCTGAGTACCCAGCTGCTCACGGGGCAGACATGGCTACCCCAAAACGCACCGGACTCAACAGAGACCCGTGGTTGGCAAACTGCGGCTTGCAAGCCACATGTGGCTCTTTGGCCCCTTGAGTGTGGCTCTTCCACAAAATACCATGGCCTGGGTGAGTCTATTTTGAAGAAGTGGCGTTAAAATAAGGTGACCAAAAGTGGGACGTCTGGTCACCTTATGTTAGAAGAAGTTCAAGTTTTAAAAAATTGACTCCAAAAAGTAATTTCAGTCGTGTTGTTGCGATTTGGCTCTGTTGATTGAGTTTGCTGACCACTGGGTTAGACCCGAAGGCGCTCTCTTCCCTGCTCTCCTCCGCATCCCGGGTGCAGAAGACATGCCCCCTCCAAGTTTCCCAGCAGAGGCCTCAGCACCACCCCTGACTCTCACTGACATGCCCGATAACCACCCGGACCTGTTGATCCTCCTACCCAGGCAGCTCTCAGATCTGTCCCCTTCTCTCCAGCCCCCCTCCCGTTCCTTTTGGTGGGCCCCTCTCTGCCTCTGGTCCCCCTGCCTCCAGCCCTGCCTCCTTCTCTCCAAGCTGCTGGCTGATCCCATCATGGAACTTCCCTGCTTAAAATTCCCAAAGACTGGCAGTGCCCTGCCTACCTCTCCAGCCCACCCTCAGCACGCTCCACCCCGCCTTTCCCCTCTCACCCCCTCTGCCCCTCACTCTCCGCTCCTGCTGGAAGGGACCAGCTGGCAGGGACACTGGAGGCCTGGGTCGGAGGGGCTTCCTCTGTGTGCCACGGGCAGACCTCAGCCAAAGCCCACGCCCCCACATCCCACGGGCCTGCTCCTCTGAGAGGCCCTTCTAGCCCAGGGCCTGGCACTGGTGAGGTGATCTTTAAGGATTTGTGGGTGAGATGCAGGACAGGGAATGTGGGGTTGAGACACGCCTGCTGGATTTGGTGAACACGTCCTGCTTTGTGGAGGATCGCTGAATCTCCTGCCCCAGTTGAGAAACACACCAGCGTCTGCCCTCTCTGGGACTCCCGTCATTAGCCAGTTGCTTCAGCGACACACGTAGTAACGCCTTGTCTACGTGCATCCTGGGTGTGGGTCCTGTCCCCTGGCCAGAATGGAAGCCTCCTGAGGGCAAGGGCCCCGTCTTCCTTCGCTCTGGTCCACAGCTCCTCAACCCCGAAGAGCAGAGGTCAGGAAGAAGGGGCGAGGGTGCAGCCCGATACATTCACATCCCAGCTCTGCCACTACGATCACGTGACCTTGAACAAGTGAACGGCAGAGTCCCCGTTTCGTCCTTTGGAAACAGGGACATTGGTACCAACTCCCTGGGCTGCGGGGATCGGATGAGAGGATGCACATCGAGCATTCAGCACCGGGCCTGGCGGAGTGAGGACTCAGGACGGAGTTGTTATTATTGTCATGTGATTGACAGCTCCCGGCTCTGGTCTCTGCCTCTTGCTCCTCTGCCTGGTTCCCTCATCCCAGCCACAGCTCTTCCTATTGCCACGGCTCAGAGGGAGCAATCAGACAATAAGGCCAGAGCTCTCTGAGGGAGATCCCTCGGCCTCCGGAAAGCGGTGAGCGGGGAGGATGCTAGGAGGCTGCCCTCCCAGGGGGCAGAAGATGAGTCACCGGAGGGAGAGGAAGACTGACTCGTGTGTCAGAGCCTGGGCCCCGGGGCCTGGCCTGGCGCCATGGCCTGTTTACAGAGTGTCAGGGCAGGAGTGCAGCTCAGGTGGAAGCCAGCTCTACCACCAGCGTCCCCTCTCCCCTGTCCTGAGCCACAAGCAAGTGGGGGAGGGGAGTTGCGGGGGGCAGCAGAGCGGGAAGTGCGGGAGCTCTGCAATCAGAAAAACGTGGCTATGTGGCTTCAGAGGCAATAACTCCCCGAACCTTATTTCCTCCTGTAAATGCGGATGACGGTACTGTCCACCTCGGTGGGTTTGGTGTAAGAATCAAAAGAAAATATCTGTAAAGTACTTAGCACAGAACCTCACACGAGAGAGAGAGAGAGAGAGAGAGAGAGAGAGAGAGAGAGAGAGAGAGAGAGAGAGCGCTGTTATAGTCTTAAGGGCTTAGCATGCTGCAGGAGGGGAGATTACCGGGTCTCAGACCAGGAGGCAGATGGGGTGGGGGAGGGGCAGGTGAGTGGAGTTGAAGGGTGAGGAGGGGCCGGCAGGCTGCTGGTCTGGAGAGAAGGGCACAGCATGTGGCGGGATGCTCAGGTATCTCCAAGGCACTTGACGCCCCTGAGAAGCACGGGGCCGTGCCCGCTTCCTATCCCCCCCCCCCCCCCCCCCCCCCCGTCCCCGCCCTGAGCCGGGAGAGCATCTGTTTCTGCCCGGAGCTGTTGAGGAGGCCTTGGTACAGCTCACCACCCGGAGGCCGGGTACACGTGCCCGCGCTCAGGGGGCGGCTCTGCCTCCGCTTCCGAGGCTGTCTGCCCCCCTGCCGCCACCCGCTCGGGGCACGGTGCCTGCAGACCCTCCCCCGGAGGGCCTGGCGAAGGACCTGGGGACTCCGTTCCCTTCCTCGGACGCCCGAGGCTGCCTGGCAGTGCTGACGTGCCGGGAGCCATGCCAACCCGCTGCGTGAGCCGCCCGGGCGCCGTCCCGGGGGCCTCATTAGCGTCACCACACAGGGCCTCCCGGTTCCCCGAGACGCCTGCTCCTGCCCGGCTGCAGACAGGCCCTCTCTCCGGTGCCCCCAAAAAGGCTCTGGGGGCGAATGCCTCCTCCCCTGGGACCCCCAGCTTGATGGAGACATCCCTGCACGCCTCTGCTCCTCTGAGGAGCCCCGGAGGCCAGGAGTCCCCCTCCGGTCAGTCAGCCTTTGGCTGGCCTGCATAAGCCCGAGGTCCAGTCCGGGACTGCTCGTGGCTTGCAGGCTCAGCTGAGCCCACGTCCCCACCTGATTCCTTTCCGGAAGCAGCCTGGGACAGCCCTAGCATGTCTCTGAGACATCCTGGATTCCCCGACCTGGAGCCTCTAGCCCTCTGACAGTCTAGTACCAGGCTCACACCTTCCCTCATCCCCTCCTCTGACCGCCACTTTTCCATGTGTTGCCTTGTGCTGCCCACTGCGTTCGCCAGCAGCACCAGAACGGAGCTGGGCTCCCAGCAGGTGCTGAAGGAAACGCTGGTGAGAGAACTGTGCTGGATAACTCCTTCTTTGCCCAGAGAGGAGGGTCAGAATCAGCTACACCGTCAAACCTCTTCTCTCAAGTTATCTGCCACATTCCTCAAAGAGTGCAGCCAGGAGCTGAGTGGCTTGAAAGGAAGGGAGTCTGCCAAGCAGAGGGATTAAGAGCACACGCCTCAACCTGAAGTTTGGGTTTGAATTCCAGCTCAACCACGAACTAGCTGTGTGACCTTGGACGACTTACTCAACCTCTCTGAGCCTTAGTTTTCTGAGGCAATCGTACCCTGCAGATTCGAGGAATGAATTCAATATCATGCATCGAGCACACAGAACAATGCTCATCCCTTATTAGGCACCCTATAATTAACAATTCAATTAGTAAGATTTAATAACAATAGTAAGAGTAAGCAACATTATTATTAGTGTGAGCAAAGGTGTCCCACTCCTCCTTCTCTACAGAGCCAAGGTCTGAGTCTCTCCAGCATGGCCTCGGCCCCCTCCCTCCGCCTCCTTGTGCGGGCAGAACCTATGCCTACCTCCTCCCCTTCTCCTAAACCTACACACCTCAGAAGGGCCTTCTGGCTCACACTTGTGGGAACACATCCTACGGGGTGGGACGAGGCCATGGGCTTGTGTTCTATCATCAGCAGAGATTTCCCACTCTGTGCCACTGAGGGTTCTCTGGGAAGGGGCCTGGGGACCGGGGGTCTGGGGTATACTCACTAGGATGCCCAGTACCAGCCTGGGTTAGCCTGGATATAGTCCTTAACGGGGTCACTGCAGAGGGAGGGAGGGAAGAAGAACAAACATTTACCCTCTGTCTCTATTTCTGGTTCGACATCTGCACTGGCCCCCCACTCCCCCCTCAGTTCACAGGACCTGAGAGGAAGAAAGGAGGCATGCACCCTGGTGGCTCAGGAAGCCCAGCCACAGTCCCAGGCTGGGACTCGGAAGTGCTGGGTGTGGGCAAAAGGACCTGAGAGGGACCCGGAAAAGCACCAGCCCCCCCCCCCCCCCCCCCATGGAGGACTCCTGTGCGTGCACTCTCTAAGGTTCTCTCCAGTGAGAGGAGGCCCACTGCCCCACAACATCAGTCCGGGTGCCCCCCCACCCCAAGCCTGGCCACGGCCAGCCCCCAACAGGTGCTGGTTTCCCATGCCAACTCACCAGAAGGTAAAGAGAGCCACGACACTCAAGGTCACCAGCAGCTGGATCAGCAGGATAGTATAGACCTGGGGGTGAGAGAGGTTCCTTGTTGGAGGCCAAGGAGGTTCAGGTCCCCATTGAAGCTCAGGGAGGCCGCAGAGTCCCTGTGACTCAATCTCCTCTCCAGACCCGCATCTTGTGCCCCCCTTCCCCCACCTCCTCCCCCCGTCCTCCTTCTTGAGGGTCCTGGGAACAGATCCAGGACCCAGTGAAAGGAGTAAAGATGGTCCAGAACCCGCACCCATAGGCCAAGGGGCCTCTCAGTATCTGCAGAGAAGAGATGACATTTTAGGGGTGACAGGGCCAGTGGGGGGATCTAAGGAAGTACTTCCCAACAGCTGGCATCACGAGGGAGGGACAGGCTGTGGCCTCGGCCGCAGAGAGCTCCCCTCCCCACCCCCGGTCCTTCCTGCAGAGCTGGGGAGAGGCAGTACCTTTCTGATGAAGACTCGGCGAACTTGCTGGTCATCCCAGCTGAAGGTGGTGAAGAGCTCATGGTCTCCGGGGGGGAAACGGCCCTCGTAGCTGGAGCCGCTGTCTGGTGGGCAGGGGAGGGCCGTGAGGGCTCCCGCACCCATAAACACTGGCCCAACAGCCGCTGCTCAGAGCTGCGTGTGTCCAACTGGCTCCCCGGACCAGCCACACCTTTCCCTCCAGCCCCACACTCAGGCCTGGAACCCCTTCATCAGATCTCTCTCCCTCACTGCTGCTCTGAGTCCTGAAAATGGACTGCCATCTCCCTGCCCCTTCCCTCCACCCTGGCTGGGGCTCTCTCTCTCTCTCTCTCTCTCTCTCTCTCTCTCTCTCTCTCTCTCTCTCGAGATGAAGCTGCGCCATACAAATTCGACCCTCCCCTCTGTGTCTCCCCACCGCTCCCCTGGACAGGCGGGCTTCCCTGTGGCAAAGAATCAGAGAGGGACAGACATAACCTCAGGACTATCCAGCACATCTCAGGGTCAAGGGTCCTGATCCCAGCTTGCTCTGAGGCCCTTGGGCTGGAAACTGGGACCAGTTGGATGGGTGAGCCCGCAGGGAGCCAGGCCTGGGGGAATCCTGGAGGGGGCATAAAGCCAGGACGGGGCAATAAGTGGGGTGTGGGTGGGAATGAAGTGTTGCAGGCTAGTCCCAGAACTCAGACTTTCAGAAGAGCGTGGACTCCCTTGTCCAACAGACCCACATGTGGCCCTCCTCTAAGACTGTGTGACCTTGAGCAAATGACCATCCTTCCCAAGTCCCTTCATGAAATGGGTCAGTGAAGGGATGAAACGAGATAAAAGTGATGGCCCACGGCTCTGGCATCGCGAGGGGAAAGGATTTCTGCCTCGAGTCCTCGAGTCATGAGTTATCCTAGCAAAGAGGCAGGAAATGAGTCCCTGATGGGGACGAGCCACCCTCTCCTTTGCACCCCTCGTCTGGGCCATTCCTGAGGCCTCACGTGCCCCCCGTGTTCCCCTTCACGGTCTCCATCAGTTCTCCATGTCATTCCCTCCAAGGTAACAGCCTCCGTCTTGGTCTTTCAAAGGCGACCACAGCACTGCCTTGCTTCAAGCTCTTTGACAGCTCCCCACTGCTTTTTACTCAAGTTCAAGCTCCTTAACAAAGCCCCACAGCCGCCCACGAGCCCCCAGCCCCCCCACTGCACATTATTTATTCCCTCCTCCTTTTCTGCAGCCTGTTTTCTTCAGCCATGCGTTCTCTTGCTACTGGGCATATCCCATTCCTTCAGCCTGGAACACTCATTTCTCTGCCTCTTTACTGGGAAAACTCGTGCTGTTCTTCGGGACTCAAGGCAGATACTCTTTCCTCCAGGAAGTCTTCCGTGATAGCCAGGCAGGCGAGGTGAGTGCCCAGGCCTCTATCACTGCGTCTGTTTCACTGTGTGGTAGTTGTCCGTCAACTCGTCTGAGCTCTGTGACGGCAGGTCTTACAAATGGAAGCATCCCCAGAAAGGAGCTCAGTGCCAGACACAGTGCCTGGCACACACTTAGTAACTGAAATGGCCTGCCTTCCTGTCCTGACAACTGCTTGGAAAACGTTCTGTAAGGCAGCCAGTCCTGGCCACCAGGAAACAGGCCAAGAGGAAGGCGAGAGAGGTGGGCCTATTGCAGGCCTGGGGCCTGGAGACCCTCCCTCTCTCATCCTTCACTTCTTCTTCATGTTCTTCTGTCTGCACCCCGCCACCCCACCACCACCACCAAGGTGCCACTAGCCAGGCCAGGGAGGGGGAGAAAGAAGAGAGAAAGCACCCTGTGGGTATCTGAGGCGGTGAGAAGGGCTCCCCAAACACCAGAGTTTCATTACCATCCCAGTTGGACACAAGCACGTAGCTCTGCTTGGATTTAGGACGAGGGGTTTTGTGGTGAGTGGTGTGGACCATGGTGACTACTTCTTGCGAGTAGAGTCTGTCTGAGGCATTGTCCCTGGGATCCCTTCTAGAATTCTGCTGGGGGTGGGGGTGGGGAGCTGCCAGGGTGGGGGAGGGGGGTTGAGCGGCTACTGAGGGGGCTGAGGAAGATTTGAGAAGGGGCCTTTCCTTATAGCGTGTGGGAGCTATATGTTCCCAACCCTGAGGCAAAGCTCCCACAGGCTGCTCCACTTAACAAAGGGGCTCCCACCAGCTACCATTCTGGCGCTGGGAGTCTGCCTATGAATTATGCCTGGTTGTGAGGGGCACTGAGGCTGTCACCCACACACCCGCCCACATCATGCCCCCAACAAGGGCCTGGGGAAAGGGGGAGAGACGGGAGAGTAATGGGTGCAGTGGATCCTCTGGCCCCCAACCCTCCTAGGCCCTCCTTGGTGATGTGTCCCCACTGAGGTCTCCTATCAGCTAACAAGGAAACAGGCTGCACCTCACTCCCAGGGAGCCACCCCAGCTAAGGCTGTGGCCAGCCGCAGCGTCACACGGCTCCTCCCTGCACTGACTCTGTCCTCTCCACTCCTTTCCTGTATCCCTTGCTTCTGGAGGGCCTCTCCAGACCGGCCCCTGGTTTTCCTCCCTGCATCTGTCCCTTTGCCCCAGCATGGTGCGTTGAAAAAAATTCCCCACATCCCCACCCAACAGCACTCTGACTGCAGACACTGTACGTCTCCCTTTTCACGGAGTCCTCCTTGACCATCCTCAGAACCGTCCTCCAAACACCAAACCTTTGACCACAGACTCCCCTACAACAACCATTCAGTGCATCTCTCTCTGGGCAACTTCCTCCCACCCCAGTTTTCCATGTGAGTCCACCTCTCCCCGTGATGCGCCACGGGGAGCTGGGAGACTTACTGGGGTCCACATAGGCCCAGCTGGGGTGCAGGGGCACCGCTGCAGGGGCTGTGGGGAAGGCCCCCGCCTTCAGCCCCTCCGCGGAGGTGGCCTCCTCATAGGAGGGCGGGGCGGACGGCACTGCTGGAGCCTCCTTCTTCTCACCGTTCGCCTGCTGCTGGCCCTCGGTCCCGGGGGCCTTGTTAGCCACGGAGAGCTGTGAAGTGGAGGCAGAGAGAAATGGTTACCAGGGAAAGGGTGCCTTCCACGCCCTCCTCACCGAGCCTCCCCTTCAATTTGGGAAGTTTTAGGGGTGGGCAGGTGAAGACAAGAGCCTCCTTGTTTTTGGTGTATATGTCTGCAACGGAACACGACTCAGCCTTAAAAAAGCAGGAAATCCTTCCCTATGTGACAACCTGGATGACATTATGCTAAGTGAAATAAGCGACACACAGAGAGGCAAAAACTGCATGCTCCCAGAGATATGTGGATGCTAACATGTTGAACTCATGGAAGAACAGTGGCTGCCAGTGGCTGGGAGATGGGGGAAATGAGGAGATGTTGGTCAAGGGGTACGAAGTGTCAGTTAGCAGGATGAAGAAGTTCGGGGATCTAATGCACAGCGTGGTGACTGTAGTTAACAATACTGTATGTTGGTCTTAAAATCTGCTGAGAGGGTAGATCTAAGTTCTTGCCACAAAAAAAAAAAAAAAAAAAAAAAAAAGGAGCGATGTGGAGGGATGGATATGTTGAACAGCCTGATTTTGGTGATCATTTCACAATGTTTATCAAAACATCAAGTTGTACACCTTAAATACGTACAATTTCTATTTGCCTCTTATACCCCAATAAGCTGGGGGGGGGGGGTCCTCCCTATTTTGTAGATGGGAGAACTGAGCTCCAGGAAGGTCAGGGCTGGCCAGGCTCACCCTGGAGCTGGGATAAGAACTGAGAAAGGAGAACATTCTTAGGAGAGACGCTCCTGAAGGAGTTTTCATTTTCCCCACTGTCGGTGGTCACTGTTCCCAGGCAGGGCTGGGTTTGTGTGGTTCCACTGCTTCTGTGGGGCCTAATGAGGGGTCTGGAACATAGTAAACCCTTCAAAGTGTTATTGAATGAATGGTTCTCTTATTTAATCTCTCTGCTACCTTGCTAGCTGCATGGTGACCTCTGTTTTAAAACGAGGGAACGGAGGATCAGGGAGAAGACTAACTCTCCCAAGGTCACAGCGCCATACGTGGCCCACGGGGCTGCAGAGCCCAGGCACCGTCCACCGGGACTGGCGGCTTCTGCTGGGCTGGAGACAACCAAGGGCAGTGAGGTGGGAAAGCCGGGACCAGAAGGGGGGAGGAGAGGGAGGAGAGAGGAAGAGGGATGGGGACTGCAGGGCAGAGGAAGGGCAAGAGGCCCTGGCCGAGGGCCCTGCTCTGGCCTTGTCCCGTTGGAATCTCAGCCCTGCCCCTGAGTCAGAACAGAATCACAGAATGTCCCTGCTGAAAGGGAGCTCAGAAGGCATCGAATCCAACCCCTCTCCATTTTACAGACGAGGAAACGGAGGCCCAGAGGAAAACGTGTCCATGGCAGGTTGAAATCTCAAGAGCATTTAACTCGGATGTGCCCCCTGCCCCACGATGTCCACATGTAGCTTTGGAGAGAGGATGGGAGCTGTGAGGGCCTGAACGCCACCGCCAGAGATGGGCCGATTGGGGTGGAGGGGTGTTATGAGAACTGGAACAGCAAAAAAGGACTGAACTCTAGATCTGCCTCCGAAAAGAATGTGTTAAACCTCAAGGTCTACTGAGGAAGGACGCAGAGTCCCTTCTTTGCAGGGTCCAGCTGCGGCAGCCCGAGCCGGGCAAGCACCAGATCTCTGTCCTTGTCCCACCCTGAGGACCACCGAACCAGAAGGGTCTATTCTGTCACAAGAAAGCCCGGGAGTAAGCTGGGGGTGAGCAGCAGAGGAGGCGGGGAATGCAGTCAGCCCAGGGCAGGAAGCAGGGTCAGCAGAGTACCTGGTGGAGGTGAGGGTGGGGAGTGAAGGGGGAGGGTGCGAGTCCGGAGAGGGAGGAGTTTTCATTGTCCCCACAGTGAACACCCCCAGGGAAAGGGCCTCCAAGCCTAGGCCCGTGGCGATGGGGTCCGGGCTCATCTGCTTCCCTCCCACTCCCCAGCCTCCATGGCCAGCCAGCCAGGAACGTCATGCGCAGGAAAATTCCTCTCAGCCCCAGAAGGAGGTCCTCGGAGCCCAGACCCAGGGCTCATGCCTGGGGAAAGAACGACTTCAGCTCTGTCCAAGCTGGTCTCTTCACTAGCCCCCACCCTGGCACGCAATCACCGGGAGCCTCCTGGGCCTTGCCCCCCATACACACACACACACACACACACACACACACACACACACACACACCCGGCATTCCCAAGTGAGGTCTGCCCAATGACAGGAGGTGGTATCGCCCAATGACATCATTTGAGGCCTTATGAGCTTAAAAACAGGGAGAGGAGGGTCTGAGGAGCCAGGGCAGGTTGCCATTGGCTCCGAGGCTCATCTCAGAAAGCAGGAGGGGAGCGTAAGGGAGGTCGAGATCTGTTTTCTTAGCTCAACCCTCAGTACCCCCAGACAGAAGACCAGAGGACCCTCCCCCTGTGCCCCAGGCCCTGGTAGCGGTACAATCCCACAGGCTGCTGATGTTATATAACCCTACCGGTCAGCCCAGCCTCTGCCCAAACCTTCCCCTACATTTTAGGCCTAGAACCGGAAAAAAAGAAAAGACGTTCCATCTGGTCCCATTTAGTCCCATGCCCTGCCAAAACCTAAACAACAATTAGAGCATCCTGAAGCTGGGCTGCCATAGTAACCCTCTAATCACAGTTGATGTGTCCAGATGTGCAGTAATGACAGGGGTTGGGGCGGGGGGAGTGTTATTGGGGGGGGGGGGGTGTGCGCGAAAGATGAGCTAATGTTAGGGTTGGGGTTGGACCAAATGGGGATGCTAGATGGGAACTGACTGCCCCTCAGGGCTCACCCTGGTGAACACACAGGCACACGCGCGCGCGCGCGCACACACACACACACACACACACACACGCACACACACGCACGCACACACGGACAGGATATCAGGCTGACTCCTTAAGGGGGGCTGGGCATCTGTGCAAGGTTCTGGGACATCAGAGCAAGGGGTGGAAGGGGGACAAAGGGGGAGAGGTGAGCCTGGTGGGCAGGCAGAGGCCCCGACCAGTTCCTTGAAATGGGTCCTTTGGTCCCCCGACTTCAGCAAGGACCACAGAGGACCTTCCCGCAAGGGCCAGGGGAGGATGCTAAGAGTGGTCCAGGGAGCTGGCTCCGGATGGCAGGGAGCCGGAGGATGGGGATGGAGGATGGTGCAGGCGGGGAGATGCCGGTACCTTTCCCTGGGTCATGGTGCCGTCTCTCGGGGAAGGAGTCCCCGTAGCCTGCCTGCGTCTCTTCCTTCCTCCGCGTGGGTTCTAGCAGCCTCCGCTGCAGCCGTGCCAGGCGGACCGGAACGTACCACCGGGGCGGGGGGGGGGGGCGCCGGGGCGGGCCGGAAGGCTGCGGAGGAGGCCGCTGCGGATTCGCGGGCCTGGGGAGGAGGCTGCGCCGCCCCTGCTCGGCCCCTCTACCCCCTTCCCTCGCCCGGGGCCAGGGGGGCGCTGCGGGCGGAGCGGCCAGGTGGACGGGTCTGCGCTCTGCGGGCAGGGGAGGCGCGGGGCCTCCGTGACGCGGGGCAGGTGATGCCGCGCGGGTAACCGGAGCCGGGTGTCCGGGCCTCACTTCTCCACCGTCCCCGCCGCTGATAGGCTCTGCCCTCGCCTCTGCCCCCTTCCCCTCCCTCTTTGGATGCAGCCCTGATTGCTGTCTCCATCTCCATTTCCCCTCTCATCATCTCCATGTCACCATCCCCTGCAGCCTGGGAAAAGTCTTCCTCCGCTTCTAACGGGGCCCCAAGCTCTTCTGCGCTTTGGGGCGAGCCAGGTGTGCCCCTCTCCGTGCCTCCGTCTTCTCACCTGTGCAATGGGAGCGAGAGGCCCCTTCCTGCCTGGCCACAGAAGCGGGCTGTGGGGAGATGCGGCCTCAGTTTTTGTAGCCGGGCTGGGACATGTCACCACGTCTTTCTGGGGACACCTCTAATTCTGTCTCAGAGCTTCTCCAACCCTCTGTGCTGCTCCTTCTCTGCTTCCACTCTCAGCACCCTTCATTCTTCTCCACCCCCTCCCGCTCCCCCCATTCCATAGCCAGCCCCGTCCCCTTCCCCAGCTTGTCCTTGGGACTTGGCCACCACCAGGCCCTGCTGTCCGCAGCTGCTGCAGGGTTACCGTGGGGCTTGCATTCTCAAGAGCTGGGCTCAAGTCCCAGTTTAGACACCCACTGGCCGTGTGACTGTGGCAAGGCCTGAACCCTGAGCTGCACCATCTCCGATGGAAAGGAGGACGATAGACCCATTTTATCCTAGATTAATTGTAAGACACACAGTTTATAGTGTGTGTGTGGGGGGGGGGGGGGGAGCACAGGGTTTATGCCTCCTTCCAGAGCGTCCTGGGCTGCCCCGGTGTGAAGACGCGGAGAGCTGCCTAAAAGAAGGGTCTGAACCTCACAGGATGGGCTGAGCGGCCAAGGCCTGGTGCACATGGGGTGGCCCCTTCCCTTCCGCTTCCCTGTCAACAGCCAGCCAGACCACCTCATGGCCTGTGAGAGAGCAGGGCCCTGGGTAGGCAGGTAGGTTATTGAAGACTTTATTCCACCTCTTCTTGCCCTTTGTCCCCGCTCCATAGCCACACACGTAAGCCTGAGCCTTCCATTCTGGAGGCTTTCTAAGCCCCTACAAACCCGTCCCCTCCCTGCCCCTCTCTCCTTCTCCAGCTCTGGCCTGGAGCTCTTCTCCCCCAAAACTGGCCCTGCACCTCCACTTCCACCCCCTGCACTGTCCCTGAGCGCTGCCTGCCCCTCCCTCTCCGCCCCTGTTTGGGGTGCTTTCCTTCTCCGGTTTGACAGCTCAAGGCCACCTCCTCCGGGAAGCCTCCCTGGCCCCCAGTCTGGATTAGATGCTTCCCCCCCCTTCCCCCCTATAGTTCCACCCTGACATAACACCTGCCACATAGCACTGTGGGGTTCTTTATCTGTCTCCCCATTAGACTCTCTAGCGGGTTTTGTGTCAGCAGTACTGAGTATAAGGCATGTGGGACACACTCAGTACATCCTGGCTCTCACCATTACCCAGCATGTGGAATCACACAGAGCCTGCCTTTTTGTAGGCCTCAGCATTTTCACGTGTCTGTGCGTCTCACCTGCTCCTTCTCTCCCCATCTGTTCTGCTCCTGCCACACCGCCCTCTTGACTGCTCCCTGCCTGGGCCACGCATGCTCTGCGTTCAGGGCCTTCGCACTTGCTGTGTCCTCGGCTGGCATGCCTCTGCCCAGACATCACCTTGCTGGGAAGGGCTTTCTGATCCCATACAGGTAGCAATGACCCCAGCATACCCCCGCCAGCTCATCGGACAGTCCCTTTTTCTCAACCCAGCTTAATTTTCTTCCTGGCAGTTGTCACCTTTGCTTAGTGCGCGTCCCAAACCCCCCCACTCCCCAACCTCTCACTCGCATATCAGCTACATGACAGGAGTTTTAGGGGGAAGTTGCCATTGCTCAGCACCCACCAGTGAAAATAGTATTAGATGCTTGATAAACGTTGGAATGACTAAAGTGCAGCATGATACAAAGTCCTTATATTCCTCAGACATTCTGACACAGTCAGCTATGATGAGTCTCAGCACTGGACTCCATTACCGTGGCGTCCCTGATATGTCCCCATTGCGTGGTCTTGGACATTACCCACATATTGGAACGCTTGTCTAGCATTCCTCTGGCCGCAGGAGGTGGCGAGATATGATGGTCCAAGGCGAGCTTGGTTGCGGTCCCAGCCTCTGCTTCAGAGCTCTGTGACTCTGCACAGGTTAGTTCCCCTCTCAGAGCTTCGGCTTTCTCCTTTGTAAAACGAGGGAGAGGGATGGTACTGACCGAGATTGTAGAGTGGGTTAAATGATGACGTACGTAAAGAGTTTCATGTAGCGCCCGGTGTTAGTATTGGCCCTAAGAGTTCCCCGAATGTTGTTTAGTGAGATAATTCATTCCCACCCTCATCAGCAGCTCAGTCTCACTGTTACTCATCACGTGTGCTGTGCCTACCTGGGTGTGACACGCTGTGGTAGACGCTTTGGTGAGTCAAAGAGGGATCAGATGTGACAGCCTCTGTCTGAGGAGGGACGGCCCATTCAGAGCTCACCCCGTGCTGTGCTGGCGGGAGAGCAGGTGACCAGGGATGGCTAGAGGAACGGTAAGGGGTGACCCAGGGGAACTTGTTGGGGTCACACCCTTGAATTCCTGGCCCAGGGATGGGCTCTATTCTGTTTGCACGAGGTGGGACAATGGGGAATTTCTAGGTGTTTTGAGCAGGAATCATGTGTTCAAAGACATGTTTCAGAAAGACCCAGCTACTGTAGTGATTTTGGCCAATAAAGTGTTTCCTGAAGCATGAAGGGAGTAAGGGCCAGCCTGTGAGCAGAGTGCGGAGAGGCGGGGGGGGCGCTGAGCAGGGGCACGATTAAAGGTGCAGGGACGAGCATGGAGACTTGGTGATGGTACAAGAGACAAAGGCTCGCAGCCCAGACTGAGGCCACCTGGGCTGCCATCCCGGCCCTCCCGATGCTTCACTGCCCCGTGCCTCAGTTTCCTTCCCGTAACACGACGGTGGTGCATTCATGTTGGTAAAGCACTTAGAGCAGAGCCAGACACACCAAGTGTCCCATGTGCGTGTGGTAGTCTAAAAGTAAGACAGGGCAGGAAAGATGGAGAGAGGCAGGCAGCTTGGGGCAGGACCGATGAGACTTAGGAAGAGGCTGGACATGGGACTAAGGGAGAAGAGGCCTCAGAAGGAATGGAGATTTGGAGGCTGAGTCCCTGGGAGAACGGTGTCGTTATTAAAAGGGAGGAAGGAGCTGACCTGGTCAGGGCTCTGATTGCCTTTGGGACAACCAGGTGGAGATGTCCTGTGGGCAATCAGGCGGAGGCTCCCGAAGTCTAGGGCCTTCCCCACCTCCGGGGCACCGTGCCCTTTGGTTTAGGGGAGTTTCACTTCCTTTCCCACCCAGCAGCCCAACGCTGGGCTTCATGGAGTTGAGTAGTGTGGCTACCGGGGACCGGCCTGGATGTTGCAGGGGGGAGGGCTCCTTGGAGAGTGGGGCCAAGGAGAGAGGAGTGGGGAGAGTAGACTCAAGGCAGCACCTGAGGTTGGAGGAGACAGATGGAAGTTCTCTCCTCCTCCAGAATTTCCCTTCAACACCTCCACTAGGCTGTGATGAGAGTGGAGGGATTCGAAGGCCTGCCAGTGTTTGCAGGGCTGTTGCTGGGGGGACGGGGGAGTTGTGGGCCCAGCCATTTCCGCTCTCTGCCTTTCAGGCCCATCCCGTTCCACCGTTCTGCTCCGGTTGCCAGCCAGCTCGGTGTGGGCAAGAGCCAGGGAGAGGAGGGAGCTGAAGGTGCGGACAGAGGCGGCACTTCTCATTTTATAAAAGCCGTAGAAGCCAGAAGCCAAAGATGGTGACTTTTTCCCCAAAGTTACATGACATTTTGGGGGCCAAGCCAAGGTGAGAAAGTCCACCAGCCCAAGGATGGGTCAGTGACACTTAGACTGAGTGTGAGGGGTGAGATGGGAGGTTTCAGGGTCCTAAGTGGCCAGAATCAGAGCTATCCAGGCACCTCTCCCCAGATCCTCACCCCAACCACGGACCTGTACACCCAGCCTGCACCAGCCTCTGCTCCACCCCCTGGCCCCGCGTCTCCCCAGGGTAAAGAGAGAGCCTGCCCACTTGAGGCCAGTGATGGGGTGGGGCAGAGGCAGGCGCTGGAGCCCAGGCTGCTCACTGCAGGCAAGTTTCTGCCTGAGGTAGTGGGCCAGTGGAGCCCAGGCATCCCGGTGCATGCTGGGTGTAACCTGTGCCTTAGCGTAGCTGTCTCCACAAGTTCCAGGTCCCTGGTCCCCTGTGACTCTGCTTTCCTACCTCCCCCTCTTCCTAGTGGCCCTACAGCAAAGAACCAGACATCCTGTGCTGGCCAGCCAAAGCCTGGTTACACAACCCCTTTACTCAAGGCGTCCAGTCCTGCCTCCAGCCACCGGCCCCCCCTCACACCATGACGCTGCCTGCCCAGATACAGTCTCCAAGGCACAGGGACAGAAGCCTTTGGCAAGCATCAACACCCCTCTTCTCCGCTGCAGGATTGCTTAAGGTGTGGAACCACATTCCTGTCCCTCCTCTCCCCACTCTTCCCCACTCCAGCCCACTATTCCTGGGCTCCTGCTAGAAGATGGGGCAGGGAGCAGAGTGTAGAGTCGATATCCCCACCTCCTCCTC